CATACAGATGAGTTTTATATATCTTGCCATCTGATCTGTCTAGCAGCACAATGGGGCCATTTTTTGATTTGGATAATTTTATTCTTGAAGAAAAGATCTGTTGTTACTGAACCGTCTCTTATAATGTCACTGTGCTTCCAGTGTGAACTCTAGTATATACAAAGGAAATGAGCTTTCCCCACTTCAAGTGAGTGGCCCTTGCAGAGGGAGAAAGTGAATAAATAAGAGCTGTGCAAGCTGGATATATTTTCAAGCTGTCTGGAGTCCATTCAAGACTCAACCTGACCCAGTGGTTTTACAAAATGTGTGACAAGCCCCCACCAAAGATCAAAGATTCAGGCCAGCATCATAAATGTTGAGGGACACCAGGGACTGAAACTAAGACTGAGGTTGAGACTCACTGTGGGACCTTGACAATGAGAATGTTATATATTGATTCAGTGAGGAAAGAGTCAGAGAAGAGGGATCCGGTGACTCAGTAGTAATGGTAGGCGTGATTTAAGCATAACTCAGTATAAGCATATGAGTACTACATACAGGATTAATGAATACAACAATAAACATGAAAGTGTAGGTGATCATGTATCATGATTCATGTATACAGTATCTATAACTTCAAAGTCTCCACAAAGGCTCACCACCCACAAATATGCTTTATACTTTTCTTGTGTAACATTTCTTTCAGATTAAGTTTTTCTCTTATCAATGTTGTTTGAATCACAGTCTTTCCTAATAATGATAGACACTTCATACCTGTGTAGTCAAACCTTTCTAACCCCATATCCAGATAAGGACATAAAACCCCATACTAAAAATTGTAACCACATAAGTGGCCAAACCACATGTCAAATTCTATCCACCAAGGGGCATGTGTTTAGAGAGTTTTGAATGTATTTCTCTTTCACAGAAATGTCACCAATTCCTGTGCCATAACTGGCCTGCACATGTGGAAGTATGCCTCTGCTCATCATTTCACAAACTGAATTGTTCTGTCCAAGGTATGGAGTCTCTCTTTATCATCTTCTCTCTTTTTTTCTCAGGTTTGTTTCCTCACATTGCATTACTGAAATATATCCTTCCACAAAGGACACCACACTACCCCAGACCCTTTCTGTTTAATTTATTTAATCAGACCACACATTTCTCCAGTTTGATATATTATGACTCTGTTCTTGTTGTGGATAGAGATTCTGGTTTTGCATCTGTTGCAATCAAAAAAATGCATGGGCTCCATTGGTGGTATTTATCTAGCCTTTTCTTTCTGATAATTTTGAAAATAATGTCTAATTTTGAATTCCATCCTCTCATTCCAATGAAACCCCTGTACTCTTAGTTCCAGAAGAAAGGATAACAACTCCATGGAGTGCCATGAATATTGAAATTCACTTCCCTGATTGTGTTCCCAGGCTTCCTAATATGTCAGAAGATGAAAAAGAAGTTCAGGTATATGTTTCACAAAATCCTCATTTCAACAAGCAACACTCAACTGGAATTGCAATTCCAGACTTTCAGCTTGTTCAGCATACCCCTGAGAAGCAAAAAACAAGTAAGTCTTTTTCTCAATGTGCGGACTTGAGAAAAAAAAACTGTGGTTAACTAGGAATTTACACAGCACCAAAAATTTCAATTCATAATAATTTTAAATCTTTGAGGGAGGGCTTGAGTAGTTTTTGGTTTGATGAAGATGTAGATGAAGTATTGAAGGAGTACCCACAATACACTAATTTCTTGAAAGAAAATTTTAAACATTTGAGTTCCATCCTGGATGTTCTTGACCCAAAACAGAAAATCTTCCCAAGTGAAATGCAAAAAGAGAATTTACATTCAAGTGCTACAGAATCTGGAAGCAACCAATTTTCAACAGATCATCAAAAATTGCCAAATATCAAAATGAAGGATGATCCAAAGATAAGTTCTGAGGGAACAGATCTTCCAGAACATTTACGTGAAACAATTATTATGAAGAGTTTGTTGCAAAGATTGAACAGATCATTAAATCAAATTGATTCAATTGTTGTAAAGGATCCAGAACATATTTTAAATTCAAAGATAACCCAGACATCATTAATGTTACAAAGGGTCATATTTCAAATCATTGATTACATGTACAGTAATGATTTGATGAAAAAAGAAGATTTCATTGGATTTTACAAAACAAAAGGCACCCTTGAAATCTCTTCTTTCAATATGATTGTGCTCAATCTGATTAAATATGATAATGGAGCATTGTTTCCAAGCTATGTAACCTCAAATTCAATTATTGGAAGCTGCTATACATCCCATTTCAAAACTCTGTTCAAAGGTAAACATCACTCAAATCAAATTATTAATTTTTTTTCCTTGACTAATGATTCTTGATGAATAATTTTATTTACACTTTTTTGGTAATCTCCTCACAGAACTTGAAGATGATGAAAGGAGATATCTTTCATATTTGAACTACAAATTGTTTTATGATATTCAGATCAAAAGACAATTAAATCAAGGTTATGATGATGAAAGAAAGGTTTTGGCAAACCTAATATTTCAATATGACAATCTATTTCAAAAATTGGAACAATACAATCTAAAAAAAGGGGAATTGCACTTGAAAGGCCAAGGAACTGAATACAATGATCAGAATTATGAAAAAATCAAACACATCCTTAATCATTTGAAAATTTACATCATGCAATATACCAATGTAATATATGAATGTACAAGAATGGTATTCTCATTCTTGACCTTTCTGTTTGTCGAAGAAAACTATGGAGAAATAGTTTTGGAAATTGTACAAGAAGACTTACTCTTCAAGGCCAAACTTGCTTTGATGAAATCCAGCCTGAAATTCATTGATGAAATAGGAAAGATTGAGCACTATCTTTACTACATTGTTAGAAACCCATATGTGGAAGAAAAAGGTAGATCTCATTATATTTACCGAAAGCAAAAATCCAAGGAGGAGGCCATACAAGAGCTATATCTAATTGCTAAATACACTCATATTATTTCATACAAGCATGCAGAATCTATCAGGGAAAGCAGTCGTTCTGATAATTATGGAATGAATGCTCTTTGCTTTCTGGGTTTAATCAATAAAATATTATCTGAATCAAAAACACAGAGGAAGAGGGTGATGAACCTGATTGAAATTGCATATGGCAGTTCAGCATGGTAGATTTTTCTTTCCACAATTTCCCTTTTTTTGTTTTGGGTTGAAGATTTGGAAAAATATATTTCATGGTCAATTGTTTAGGAAGCTTGCTTAGAGTGTGGAAGATACATGCAATGTAATCATGTCTGACCAAATACTGGTATTTATGGTAATGCAATCCATAAAATGTGGCTTGAAGGTGCCAGAATTTATATTTTGTCACCAGGAAAAATTTAGTCAGTTTGGACTAGCTACCCCCCAGCTACCCATGAGCTCACTACTCTACCAGCTCAAGGGGAAATTACAGTATTGTTAACTTGAGATTACCACAACAGCTGGAACCAAGCAGAACCAGTTGTTTCTGAATGTGACTCAACATCAAGTGTCAGTTGATTCTTTGTGGGGTGTTGTGTCCCCATCAGTCATTACTGGAATGAATTGGTTGGAAAGTCTTGACCAGAAGCCCAAATTTCAAAAATGAGGGAATTGAATGCACACCACAGCAACAGGTTAATTTGGAAACACATATGGCTCCCTGAGATTTTCCACTCTTATACTCTGCCATGTATAAATAATTTCATTTAAACCAAAGATTGAGGCTTGAATACTGGAGACTTGAACTTACAGTGAAAAGTTTCAATCAGATTCAGACACAGCCCTTGAAAATTCAATTTGAATAAGGCATCTGAGAAGTAGGGGTGAAACAAGCTAAATGATGCATTTAATTCTGAAGCAATTGCAAGTGCTTCAAAGATCTCAATCTTTGCACATTGGGAATCATTCCCCTTTGGATTTAAAAGAAACCCCTTTTAAGCAGTACATACCTCTTTGAATGACCCTTGAGAGTTGATAGAATTATATAGAGATACGTGCAGCTATCTCAAGCGGCAGATACCAAACGTTCTCTAGGTTTTGATTCAATAAACCATCTCAACGCAAGTCGGGCATTTCGAGCCCCCAGGTTCAGTTGAATTGGAAGGGTTGTGCTGTGAATTGCACAAACTCAGACTGTTGCATCAGGTTGCGTCTCCTTGATGATTGTTTGTAAACAGACACCACAAATTATTTTCGAGGAATTTCATGCCGTCAATTAGTTCTGTCACAGAAGATTCGAAGAATGTTATTCCAAGGCTGGCAATTTCTTCCCCGGTGGAGTCTTATATTGTAATTCTTTGCGGGGTCTTACGGGTTGGATTATGTTGCTGCCCAATCAGAGACACCTATGAATGTTTGGTTCTGCCTATTTGAGACTCCAATACCGGACCGGCTGTTTATCCGATGATCGATTCCTGACTTCATGGCAGAAGCTCGGGACAGGGGGTTGAATGTCCTCTCTCACATGATCTCACTTGATGCGAACCCTCTCGAGAAACATTCAGAAATTTCAAGATGAAAATCCGTTTAAAATCACAATTCGGGTGGAGGGAAGACCCTCTTTGCCGGAGAAACAAAAGCGCGCCAGAGGTGTAAATATTTGGATGTTTGGTGCTGCCAAGGTTATTCATGCTCATGCCCCTTGGAATGATCGTTGCGAAGATTCAAATTGGAATGCTTGCATTCTCATAATGAATTCAGCAGCTAGGAATTAGCGACACCTCATAGTTGGAGTTTGACTGCTCTTCAAAGAAGACGCATCCAATCGGACTACAATTGAATATTTACAAAAAAAAGAGGAACAAGTTCTTTCCATCTGCGATATGTTCCACTTACCAATCATGGCATGAAAGTATGAAATCTAACCAGTTGTTCCCATATTTCCTTACATCAATTGCTATCTGCTTGCCTATGGTGGAGTGCGGTGGCTGCATACTGATACGCTTATAATGGCATGATTGCTTTAGTGGTTCCTCCAGGTGAGGTTATTTTTTGAAGGTCCAGCTAGTGTAGGTTCTGAATCGCTATCGGCCTGTTTGTTCATCCCGGCGACTGCTATCTTGTCAGGACAGGCCGTGCCCCAGGCAGAATAGCACCCTGATACTTAGGCTAACCTTTCTGACCAGCTCATTTGAGAATGCAGGCACTCGCTGTTAGTGTAAAGCCTGGGGGGAGATGGAATTCATCAAAGGTTCCATTCTACTCACTGACACCGGGCGCCCGTATCACACCACACTGCTTAGAGCTAGACTATTTAAACGCATGGCTTTCTCCCGAAGTAGAAGCATCCTTATCCTCGGCATCTAACAATCTATCCATCCTCTTCCGTTTACAAGTATCTTCTGTCCTCGTGCTCAATTCTTGTCTTGATTCGTTCAATTGATATCTACCTCTACCTTTAGCGGAGAATTATAGTCGGCCTTCATTATCCTCCTCCAACAGCCTCCAACATGCTCGACCATGGCTGCAAAATCTTTAGCCTCTTCTTTCTGGCCCTCCTCCCCCACGGATCTAACACGGCAACAATGCCCGAGATGTTTGATTATATCGTCGTTGGTGGTGGTCAGGCAGGTACGCCAAAAATTTTTACTCGCTGATTTGTACTCGAGCTAATTCTCTTTCACCACAGGCATGGCTGTAGCATCTCGCCTGTCCGAAGACCCATCGTTGACGGTTCTCGTACTCGAGGTAATGAGTCTGCTACTTCCATTTTGACCTAGACGTGTAGTCCTAACTCAGGATGTTCTTCATTTTAGGCTGGTGGCACAGGCATTAACAACACCGGCATAAGTATACCCGGATTAGTAGGTCAGTCATTTTCTACCAAGTTATTCGTTCACGTATGATCAGCAGCTAATACTCAAGCTCTTCCAGGAACTACCCTTGGTACGGACATTGATTGGAAGTATTCCACAATTCCTCAAGCAGGCGCCAACGAACGCCAAGTCTATTATCCTCGAGGAAAAGTGAGTGTCATAGCTATCCATGCTCTAGTTTCCAGTCGCCCTAACGTGAATCTGTTTCAGGTTCTTGGTGGCTCGTCAGCTATCAACTTTCTTATCAGTACCAAGGCCGAGAAGAACGATTACAACGCCATTGAGAAACTGGGCAACCCGGGATGGTTTGTCCACTTCAGGTTGAACTTCCCCTTTCTGCTGAAGCTGACACTCAATTTCTTTTTTCTACAGGGGATGGTCTGAGATTGACCGTGCATCAAAGAAGAGCGAGCACCTCGTCATTCCACCACCGGATTCGCCTTACCTTTATAACCCGCTCTATCATGGGCTCTCCGGTCCAGTCGCTAGCTCATTCCCAAAATATGTTCCACCCCAATTCGAGCCTTACTTCTCTGCCGCGAGCATGGCATCCGTTGCTGAGCGAGCTATCGAAACCACCGACCCATTCGGCGGTGATTTAGAGGGAGCTTACATATTCCCTTCAGCTATCGATGCTCACAGCGCCCGAGTGACCAGTGCCACTGCATACTGTTTGTTGATTTGTTTCTATTTGCGGAGCACTTCCTCTTTTCCCCCGTATTGACAATGTTATAACTTTGCTTCAGATTTCCCCAACCAGGCCCGTCCCAACTTGGTGGTACGAACTGATGCTGAGGTGAACAAACTCATTAGCAAGAAGACTGAAGGACAAGCCCTTCAAATTGTCGGAGTCGAGTATTCTAGCCTTGGAACGGTGTCTCGTGCGATGGTCAACAAGGAAGTCGTCATGAGTGCCGGGTCTATTGGCACTCCAGCAATCCTCGAAAGAAGTGGCATTGGGAAATCAAGCATTTTACAAGACTTGAAGATCCCAGTGGCCCTTGATCTCCCAGCTGTAGGCGCCAACCTTGCCGACCATCCGGCTCTTTTAGGAACTTACCGGCTCAGGTCCGGGATCGTATCGTCTGATGACCTTTTGAGGAACGCAACCTTCGCTGGAGAACAAACCTCTCTATATATGACGACAGGTGGTGGTCTTCTCAGCCATGGAATCTCCCTCTTAGATTATCAAACCTTAAAGTCAATCGTCACCCCCGAAGAATTACTTGAAGGAATGAAGCTTCTCAAGCATGAACCAAGCACTATGTCAGAAGAGCAGTTCCACGCTATTACTGACCGAATCCTAAACGGAGTTGCCGTCGAATTCTTGTTGATTAATGCCTTCTTTGTGAGTAATTTCTGCTCTGAGCACCCTTGGTCACAACGGAAACTGACTTGACATTGGCATACTCATCACTATCAGGAGTCGGACAACCTTCCGGACCCAAATACCTCTTAGTAAGTCTTTACTTCTTATCGCTGCTTGGCGGGCTCCCAGTTAATCAAGTAACTTTCTTGTTATTTAGCCTGACCATTGCTACCACACTTCAACATCCTCTATCTCGAGGATCATCGCATATCCATGGTCAAGATCCTTCCCAAGCGCCTCTCATTGATCCAGGTGAGCATTTGTCACATCATCTACTCAGTAAGACTTTGAGCTAACATTAACTGGTATTATCAGGTTTCTTGTCTCACCCCTTCGATGCATGGTTAATGGTCAAAGCTGCCAAACACGCCCGAAAGATCATGGAACAACCGCAGTACAAGAAGGTGATCCTGAATGAGCACTTCCCAGGCCCATCCGTCCAATCTGATGCGGAATGGCTAGTAAGCGTTAAAAACCGTGTTAGAACTGAATGTGAGTCTTCTTTGTTCTCGTCAGAATTCTTTGGATTAGAGCTAACGCTTGTTGTCGCTCTGACAGATCACCCTCTCGGTACTTGCGCAATGATGCCCAAGAGTCAAGCCGGTGTTGTCGACCCTCAACTTAAGGTGTACGGTACCCAAAATTTGAGAATTGTGGATGCTAGGTATATTGTTTTTTTCCCATGACCGTCTACCTTTTTTTTCTCTTACTGATGTTTGAATCTTTGAATCGCAGTGTGATTCCGATTCAAATTGGAGCTCACCCAGCACTCACAATCTACGCAATTGCTGAAAAAGCAGCTGAGTTGATCTTAAAACCTACCACGTGAGTTCACCTCCCAACATCCCCATAAACCTATCCCAAATTCTAATTGGCCTTGGTTTCTTTTTCCTCTACCTGCTACAGTAAAACTCTGTTGCCAAGTGTTCTGTAATAGTAGACCCTATTTGTTATTTTTTGAGGTTTTATTAGTGTTTTCTTATGTATTATTTGTAGAAGTGTTCCAATGTTTGTGCACATTGTGAATTTTTGTCTTCTGTCCTCTCATTCTTATTTTATATGTGCAGCAAATGGTGTTTAGAGTCTAAAATTTAAAAAAAAAAAAAAACATACAGTGCACTGTTTACTGGTAGTTTTCTACATTGTTAAGAAGAACAATACTGGTGTGTCAAGAGCAATAGTTGAATCTACAATTCAACCTAAGTTTGGCCGATAAATCTCAAGACAGCGCCATGGAAACTGTAAGTAGACAAAGCTAGCTTCGATGGAGGCAACAAATCACAAGCAGGTTGATCACTCCAAACCCAAGTTATTTTGGAAGAGGATTGTGTTTCAGAAGTCACCATTCTTGCCCTCATGGACAATCAGTGTTACTGTGTTAGGTCAGGGGGTCCAAGTATTTTGCATATTCAATATCGATGGTGTGGTTGCTGACAAGGGGGCAGGCAGTCCAACTCACTTTCGCTGGTCACCAACACGCAACTTACCATCCAACCAAACTCAACTCAACAAGTCATGGCCAACCCTAGACAAAGACGGAAATCACGATCAGGAGCACCGAAAGCAAGATTGTCAAAGTTTGCGAATTCCAAGCTAAAGAAAGTCACCCCAAGAAACTTTCCCGGACCATTATCCAATGCATACAATCCCAGACAAACACCGAGACAGAACTACGAGCGCCTAGGACTACTATCCGGGAAACTCGCTCCAAGACTAGCCGGTGGAATCGAGAAGAAGACCGACTTACAGAACATCTGGCTGAATAAATACAAGAAAAAGGATGAATTTGAAATCCTAAGGACGACAAGTGATGGTGAAGTAGTCGACAATGAAGAGGATGAAAACGATGACGAAGAAACGGACGAAGATGATTCGGAAAAATCCGACGACGATGGGAACCAAGCTACTACTGTGAACCGGGATCCGAAACTATCTAAAGGCGAGGGGCGGATTATCCGAGATGCTGACGGCAAAATCATCAAAGTGATCATCGGAGACGAATCAGAAATTGAGCTAGAGCCAACTGCCGAAGACCCTTCAAAGATTGTCATCGAACGCGACCTTCAACCTTCCACCTCGACTCCCTGGGGAAATCCACTGGACACGCCTAGTTACGAGCAAGATCCTTCAGTAACTCATCATCCTCCTGCTCCTGTACTACAAGGTATCGGATACCAAAACCCACGACAAGGATTTGTCCCCCCCAAAACCAAATTTGTTGAAGGTGAGTGATTTTCTAAATTTTTCTTTTTTGCACAATTTGTGTTAATTGTGTTAATGTGATGGTGTTTGTTCTATGATACTCCAGAGCTAGAAAAGATATCCTCAAATCGATTGGCAACATATAGCGAGACGATAAAGAAGAAACAACATCTATCAGAAAACCAAACCAATTGGTTACTCAAACTGATCGAGAAACACGGCCTTGAGAACACCCACTTGATGGCTCGAGATCTTAAGCTAAACAAGGATCAAAAGACCGAAGGAGAGATCCGACATCTGATCTCCAAACTAGCCTCTCAATAAATAATCACTCGTCTGCAATTCCAGTTTTATTCTTTTTTCACTCCATTTATATTCTTTTAATGTAAGATAAGTAGGATTCAATCGCAAAACAAAAATCCAACGGTTGGCTTGCCCTGCCACTCCTCCTTTGTTTGATCCTTTGCTCTTTTGTAGTAATCAAGCCCCCTCATATATAAGACCCACAAGGGCCTCACTGAAAATACTCTTAATAAGCTCGTGTTCTCAATTTGATTCTCCGACAGGTGTTTAGTCTTGGCTCGCCCGCTCTTTGTTTTTTTCTAAACAGTTTCCTTATGAGTTTGATCCGTATATGTATTCACGACTGGTGACATGACAATTAGGTATCATAGAATAAAGTTTGAAGAAAGATTAAACCTGATCTTGTGATCAACAATTTGGTGCTTTAAATAAGCAAAAGTACGTCTTGTGCTTGTGAACTCCCACAAGCCATTAACTTGACATCAGTTTTTGTGGTATTGCCGCAAAGTTGTCGATCTACTATGCAGGTACACAGGTGTCATATGAGATGGAAGTGCCCTAAAGCAAAGAAAAGCATGAAGAGCCACAGAGAACGGTATCTTAGTGGTTGATAATTAGTGAAAGCAAAAGGTGAAAAAAAATTGTGGCTTACAAAAGGATAAAGATTGCAACAAGCCAACTTGCCTTGAAGCTTTATGCAATTCTTGAGGACATTTGCATCAGTGGATGGGACTGGGGCGCCAAGGACCATCTCGGTCAGTGTCTTATGATATTCAAACGTTTTGTGCCACACCATACATAGGAAGTCGAATCGGCTTACGTTTTGGATACACAAACTTGCAAACCAGTCTCTGATTCTTTGCGCAGGCTGCATACGCATCGAAAGCCAAGCTCATCAATAAGATGAAAACGAAAGCTCCAGTCTGCATCATATTTTGATATTTGATCGGGAGTCGGTTAAGATTGATCTCGTAGTCAACACTTGAACGTTACTGGCGACTGCTTTAAATTGAGATGGAGGTGCTTTGGAGGACTTGTACAAATGACAAGTTCAGAGCTATGGGCTATATCTTTTGAAATCCTATTTATCAAAAATAGGAATTCGATCTCGTTCTAATAAGCTACGTAAAGATGTGATTGTTCGAGTTTGTGATGGAGAAGACTTGGGACACTCCAACTGGTCCGTCTTTTATGGTCACAAAGCTGCCTTCAGGGACCCAGCAAGAAAGCCAGGTCAAGTGTTCACTGCGTTCATCGGCCGGGTTCTATTGCACTGCCTTTTCTTCTTTACCTCGGTGACTATTTTGTCTCCTAGTATGTATACCAGATTGCTGAGCATAACACTTGAGCCTCATTCACATCGAAGCATCCGACGCTTATAACTTCCCCCCCGGTCGGAGTGATAAAACACTTTTTGGATTGTGGCGACGGCACCCCTCCAACTTAGCATCCGACATCCATTTGTGACATTCGAATTGAATAAAGCGTTTAGCTTCTTCATCTTCAATCGCTAGGGCCACATTGATGACTGAGCTTGCTCTCAACTGGAATACTTTTGTATGGTTTTTTTGAACTATCGATATTGTTGATGATTGAATCTAGTCATTGGATCCCAGTGGCAAACTTTGTCAGGGACACGAGAGAATTGCCTCGTTCCCTCTCGTTCCCCCATCGACGTACCCTCGCCAACCAGGAATGAAACACAGGTTGTTTTCCCGCTTTTTTTTCAAATGTTGTTTACTCTTTCCTTTTCTCCTTTTTCATTGCGCTCTTCTGTTTTGATTCTCATCCTTATTTCATTCTTGCTTGGTTCGTTTTGTTTAAATGGTTGTTTGGGTAAGTTGTAACCTTAGGTACCTGGGCAGCAGGAGCAGGGATTTTGTTATGGTTTACATAACGAAGGGTACTCTTCCAATATACTCCAAACCAAACACTTCTCACACACCTTTAGTCCCAGGAAAAACCACCTCCAACACTTTTTTTGCAAAAACAGTCCCCTCAATCCTATCCCTATCCCTGAAAACTAACAATCTTGAGAGAATCTTGCCTGTGAGTTTGAGTGAGAGCTTCGACTGTTGTTTCGGTCTACCAGTGTAAAAACGTTAGTTTACATTCGGAAGACTTTGAGAAACTAAGATTGTACCTCATTGCCTCGAATAATTTAGCAAGTTGTTATTTTGCCGAACTTGTTGCTTGAAGTATAGTGAGCAAGAGGTTATAGATGAAGAGAAATGCTATCCCTGCTCCGGATTTTTTTCTGACTTGTAGAGAAAAGTACTGAGTGTGAGTGAGAACCGGGTTTAATGGACCCCAATGGGGGAAGATGCAGGTGGCCGTGAGTGGGCAGTGCCGGGAAACATGAGGAAGCGTGGGGTATGACAGGCACCGGGTGGCATCAGAGGGTGTTTTATAATCGCCAGGCTACACCAAGCTCGCCGTCGTGGAGCAGCCAAAGCCATAGTAGGTTCATCTGCTCCAATCGTAGGATTGGAGTTTGCCTCCAAGCTGCTATCACAGTGTACACCAAGGTTACTGCTCTACGGTCCAGCTCTTGGGGCTCAGCATCGCGAGCAACAGCATCGTCTGCAGACCACTGTCGATCATTAGTATACGGAATCACCGAAGGCCGAAATAATGGCCATCTGAGCAAGTAACTCCTCGACCGAAAGAGGAAAAACCTACCAACTGGACCCACCTGGGTTGGTGATACCTGAAGTTATCTGATACTAAAGTGTAGAAAAAAGAACAAAGTGTGAGTGAACCAGACGATGCCGCCTGCAGCAGGAAGTGGGGACTCGATTTCATCGATGAAGTAAGGCATAGAAGAGACAAGAGGATACCGGCCGTCAGGATATAAGTACATGTATCAGATTCAAATGGATTGCTAAAAAAATTAAGTTGGCTAACATTAAAACACATTCATGTATTTCGAGGTGAAAGAGATAAAAGGTGGGTCTCTAATAACTAATCATTCAGCTGAAAAGATTTGCGAAAGAAAGGTGTGTTTTAACTCCCGCAATTGACCATCACACCAGTGGAACTCGTTATGGCGGGCCTTGTCGATGAATTTCAACGCCCATTTCCGACTGCAGGCGGCAGCGGCTTTCTCGATCTCTCGTAAAGCTGCTTCTAAATTTTTTGCTAGGGTCTCATGGATTACCGGGTCGTCCTCAATCTCACCGATCCACATTGGCCGTCTGCCACATAGGACTTGGTCGGGTGGGTAAGATTTGCGTCCGTAGATCTAGGAGCTTCCTGCTCAAATGGTACTTTTTCCTGTTCTCTGCAATTCGGTAAACTACATCACAAGATACCAATTGTCACACATTTCCAGAGGCAACAGCCATTCGATGACAATTGGCATCTCCTGATGTAGCTCACCAGATCGCGGAGAACAGGAAGAAGTACTATCTGAGCAAGAAGCTACTAGACCTACGGACGCAAATCTTACCCACCCGACCAAGTCCTACCGACGGTGGCAGACGACCAATGTGGATCGGTGAGATTGAGGACGACCCGGTCATCCATGAGACCCTAGCAAAAAGGTTAGAGGCAGCTTTACGAGAGATCGAGAAAGCCGACGCCGCCTGCAGTCGGGAATGGGCGTTGAAATTCATCGACAAGGTCCGCCATAACAAGTTCCACTGGTGTGATGGTTGATTGCGGGAGTTAAAACACACCCTTCTTTCGCAAACCTTTTCAGCCAAATAATTAATTATTAGAGACCCACCTTTTATCTCTTTGACCTCGGAATCCATCAATTTGCTTTATTGTTAGCCAACTTGATTTTAGCCGTCCATTTGGTGTACTTACCTTCTTGCATGTATCTTCTGTGAGTTCGAGTGAGAGATTCGAGTTTTGTTTTGGTCTACCAGTGGAAAAAGGTTAGTTTGTGATGGTTACTTTGAGAAATAAAGATTGTACCTCATTGCCTGGAATAATTTAAGATGTTGATTTGCCAAAGTTGTTACTTGGAGGATGGTGAGGAGGAGGAGGTTGCTGCAGCCCTATATAGATGAAGGAGAATCTTACCATGCTCCAAAATTTTTGTAGCTATAGAGAAGGTACTGTTATCTCAAGTACTAAGGTTCTAATGGACCCCAGTAGAGGATCCAGGTGGTTGTGAGTAGGGAGTGCTGGGGAGTGAGGGAATGGGGAGAATGAGGGCAAATGGCTGGGACCGGTTGGCAGGAGAGGGTCTTTTATATTCACCGGGCAGCACCAGGGCTCCGCATTGTGCAGCAGCCGAGCCCACAGTAAGTGCAGTGGTGCAGCAGCTGAGCCGGTGGCAGGATTGGGCTCAGCATTGACTTATTCCACCAAGCAACAGAATTGTCTGCATACTCCACAGGACTGCAAGAGCACATTCAAAGTCAACAGTGCCTCCAAAAGCTCAGCATTGATTTTTCAACCTCTTCAGCGGTGTGCATTCCTGGAGCGCGTAGTGATCCAGAGTTATTCTTGTGGCCGTCAGTCTTCACTTGGCCTCAACCAATTTGCCTCTGGCACAATCGCTGAGAGAGATTTCGCCGTAGAGAAATGAACACGGGAAAAAAAACCAATACTCAGATTGTTCTCTTGGTTCCAACAATCGTATTCTTTAAGCCTTATTCTGATACTCCGTTCTTACTATCTTTGCTAATGATTGCTTTGAATCATCACCCACAGCAGGACAACTTTTTATCCTTTACTTTTGTTCCCCTTTTCCATTTTCTTTTTGGTTCGTCATGTCTTTTTAATATTCGTGTAATCAAACAAAACCTATGAAAGGTGGATTCTCCCTTCGAATTTGGGTCATGGCCCTTAAGTGCCTCATCATTATTGCTTGATAGTCTCAACTTCCCTTGGCCATAATTGTGATGACTCGCGAAACAAAAGGAATTTCATGCAGCCATTTATCATTGGGGAATAAAAACCATAGCAAACGTACTCTAACCTAACACTAAGCCTACCCTAAACCTATCTAAAGAGGCCTGGTGAGGAAAGGCAGGTTTTCCAGTTGGGTGTGGGGAAATCCAGGGATTTTGATGTGAATGTTAATTGTATGGTGTACATGGTATTGGACAAGCATCCTTTGTTATGTAAATCATACTAAAACCCCTCAGACACAGGTGCAAACTAAGTTGCTTGTCCCTGCTGCAGTGTGAAGCACTGTGGTCACCTGACTGAAGTGTAACACTTCCGCAGATGCCAAAGATTTGTTAAGATTTGGAAATTCATGAATCAAATCTGAACAACCATCCCTCCCAAAATACTTGGCCAAGTACCTTGATTATAGTCACAAAGCAGACCTCTGTAGGTTGGACTCTTACCTCATCTCAAAAAATCAAAACCAAAGCAAGTTTCCTGTGGTGGGATTGTTCTTAACTTTTCAATAGCTTTTCCCCAAACCTCTCCTGGGTCTGAAACACAGTTTGATGAAATCTCAGCAAGTGTCCAACAATTCTGCCTCCTCAAATTTCATTTATCAGCTTCCAATTATTTTCAGCGGGTTGTAAAAACAACTCTCAGGACTGTCAACAGGTGGTTGTTGGGGGAGCCTTATGGATTGATATTAGCAGGTTTCAAAATTGGGATATATGGAAGCATAGCAATCTGAGCAACTACTTGAACTGATTGAAATCACTGCATATTATACGATTTAACCAAACACCAACAGGGGGAAATAGACACATTCAAGGTCTTGAATTTGGCTTCCTGGAGGGAATAAATATTTTGAAAGATTTGAAAAGTCTAAGATTGAGGCCTTGTTTGGTACCAATATAAATGAGCAATATAATGTCAATTCTTGGGATATCTGATCAAATTTTGGCAGACCCAGTCAGATGTTACATAGGATGTCAGGAAAAAATCTTCATATATCGCTTGCATTATCACTGCCAAATAAGGCCTGAATTTCTAAGTTAGATAAATGAAAAACACCTATAAAAGGATCAAACAATGTTGTATCTAAGTATTATTGTTTGTATAAGAGCAGAATTTGGGCTACTTTGTCAATATGTTCTTTGATTCTTGGATGATACTGCACTTGAGATTGATTTTCGACATGAGAAATAATTGTACAAATGGAAATCAATCCTCCAATAATGTTGCTTTCCTTGATGAGATTGATCTACACCTGAGTGATATGTTGAAGTGTGCTGTTTTCTCCTCCTTCTAAGTTCTATTCTACTACTTTTGGATTGGTTGGTTCTTTTCTTCCCTTGATCTACTTTGGTTGATCTGGCTACATAGATCTGGTCAACAATGGGCCCACTACGCTAACGGTAGCATTAGTGCAGTGTTGTGTAGTGAGATTCTGCTAACGCTTAGTGTAGAATTCTGCCACAAATGCACTAACTCTACATGTGTGCGGCGCATAGATGGGCACACTATGTTGCACTACAGTGTGTTTTAGCAGCTTTTGGGCCTTTTCTGCCACAAAAATCACTGTAGCGCACCGTGGTGGCACTAACACTACAGGTTTGGTGCACTGTCTTGAGGGCCACTACACTAACATTAGTGGGCCATTTAGTGTAGCAGCCCATCATTGATTGGGGGTTGATAAGCGCAAGCCAACCCCCCTTTCGCATGCCAAAGGATATTGGCGTGCAGTATGGATTAGATCCGGGCTCCTGGTTCGGGTATTGGTGGAACCGTTGTCTGAACCCGGCATACCCGAACTCGACATCGGTTCCACCGAGTCTTTCAAAAACAAGGTTTAACACTTGCAGACTGACCGGTCACAGTAGTACGGTACTGTTAGTCTGTTCAGATTCTCAAGTCTCAGACTGTGACTGCCAACTGAGAACTCTCTAGCAATCCACTGATCCAGTCAAAACTCACGGCATCAGCTCAACATCACAGGCACCGCATCAGAATCACCCCGGCCTCAATCTCACCGTGCACTTTTGCAAGATGCAATCAGAGTGTACCCCTAGTAATCTTGATAACCACACCACCAGCATCTCTAACTTGGAAATCGAAACAATGACATCCGTGCCACCTAAAACACCAACTCAACACAAAATTCTAGAAACAAAAAGCAAAAAGAGCTGGGTCTGGCAATACTTCCAAACAAATGTCATCAGCGGGGTCCCTTATAACATTTGCCAGGCAAGGAAGTCTCCTGAAGGTGAAGAATTGTGTCTCAGGCAACTAACGGTAGACCCAAAAAAATCTACAACAAGCATGTCGAAACACTTGGATCGAATCCATCACATATACAAGAACAAAAAGAGCACCAGTGCAATCACCAAATTCTTAGAAAAAGGATGTCACTTCAAAAAGCTTGACCGCAACTCCTTGACCTCATCTGTCGCCCGCTTTTTTGTTGGCTGTAATGTTTCTTTCTATACAGTAGAGAATCCACATTTTCATCAACTGCTTCGACTCTGCAACCCGGCCACCAATGAGCTTATTTGCGGCAAAGACACATTATCCGCTTTTATCCAAAAAACCTTTCAACAGGGGAAGCAAGTCCTCCGTGATCAGCTGCGTGTACTCAAATCAGAAATCAGTCTGACTTGTGACACTTGGACTTCGCCAAGCAATCATTCTGTACTTGGAGTTACGGTGCATTGGATCGATGAGGATTTCTCTCTTAATTCAATTATCCTTGCTGCACAACTTGTGGACGGAAATCACTCAGGAGTCTCACTGGGAAATCACTTACTTGAGGTGCTTGAAGATTTTGACATTTGCAATCAAATTTTCTGATTCACCTCCGACAATGCTTCAAACAATCAAACCATGGGAGCTCATCTAGCAAATCTGATTCCCTTTGATAACAAAAAGTGTCTCCTGGGCTGTATGGCTCACGTAATTAACCTTGCTGCTCAATTTGGGATCAAAGAATTCTTGCAATCATCCACACCCTCAACATAATTACCTCATGGTCTAATGAGCATTTTAAACAATCAGCCTGCTCCGGTAGAAGTTAAGACTATTATTTCTCGAATCAAAGGGCTCACTTCATACTTAAAACATTCCCCTCAGAAAGCTGCATTATTTTCTAAGACCACAATTTGTATGCGCAGTCAAGAGATTAGTTTGGTTCAAGATGTTGCTACCTGGTGGAATTCCACCTTTTCTATGCTAAAACGGGCATCCGAACTTCAATCCTGCATTTCAGCCTTTTGTGAGAGATACCACTTGACTGACAAGTACAACCTTGAACCACACGAATGGCTCAAACTGGATCAGCTCTGTAATTTTATGGGTCTTCTCTATGACGCAACCAATACGATCTCACCAGAAAACACTGTCACTTTATTGCTTGCTGCACCGGTATACATCATGATGATGAAAGAGCTTTGTGAGGTGAGCTTTCCTTGAAATCCATTTGCAAAGTACATCCCAAACCAATCTGATTTTTATCTTTGTGACCAAGCAGACAACAACGAGGTACAATGCTCAGGATCTGATTCCGTCGGCCATTGAAATGCTCAATAAGCTGAGAGGCTATTTCAATACCGCTATCAAGAAACCAGTCTACCTATGTGCAACCTTGCTTGATCCTTGAATAAAAGAAGGCCTGCTTGATCGGCCAGGGGTTCTTGAAACTTTGAACCTTACCAAGGAAACCATTCTGGAGAACTTCAAGATCGAAGCTCAGAAATTCACAAGCGACTGCTACAATGAAGATCAGACAAACTACAATCCCAATTCAAACACCCCTCAAAATACATTGAAATCTAGCATATTCACCAAAAAAAGGAGAAAAATCACATCTCTCAACGATGAAATCAAGGACTACTTTGCCTCTGAAACTGAAGACAAATCTTGTGATCCACTTCTCTATTGGAAGGCCAACTCCACACAGCTCCCATCCTTTGCAAACATGGCTTGAAAATTTCTTTCAGTACCTGCATCAAGTGCTCCTTCAGAGAGGGCTTTCTCTGCCGGCCGTCACATACAAGATTACACACGAAATCGCATGTGCACCGAAACCCTTGAAGCACTCATTTGCCTTAAGGACTGGGTTGATCAAGAGGTCATCGATGTTGATCACATTGAGACATCAACCTGCTGATTCTTTTTCTAACTTCTCAGTTTACATCATCATCTCAATGATTGATCATAGATCACAACTCTTATTCCTTCATTTTTCATTGTTTTCTTCCACAATAAATAGCTTATCTCTCAAAGAAAAACTTTTCAATCATGAATAAATGTAACCCCGCTGTCTTGAAAATTTTCATACTTGCAAAATGGTTGGTGTCTCCAATAAGACAATTGCTTGGTCCATCATGAAACTTCGCAATCAAACTTGTATTTACCATGGTATAAAAAAAACAAAAAAGGACAAATCAAACAAATGGAAGCCTCATAAAGAAGTGAATGAGACTCCAACAACTTTTTTTTAACTCAAAGCTATTTACAAGGGGTGTCTTGAACTTGAGATTGACCGATTTTTTTTACTTTACAATCTTTAATCTTCACATCAAATCCTTGCGGTTTTAAGAGTACGTGTAAAGACACTCATGATTCATTAACATTGAACTGTTGTGTACTAAGAAGAAAAAATTTTGTGGAAAGAAACATACAATTATGATGGAGCTAGTTTCTTTTTGAGGAGGGGAGCTGAAACAAGTTGGCAGCTTTGGTTAGAGTTGGCCATGGTGAGTTTCATATTTCTCTTTCAGGCCTTGGAGGATGGAAATCGTCTCGGGGACTGAGGGTTCATTGACAATGACTTGTTGGAATCTGCGTTCAAAGGCCGCGTCTTTCTCAATGTACTTGCAATATTCGGCAAGAGTGGTAGCCCCTAGACAACGGAGTTTGCCTCGAGCCAAGACCGGTTTGATGAGATTGGCCGCATCCATTCCGCCGGAACTGGCGCCTTGAACAGCCATGATGAGATGCATTTTGTTGATGAACAGGATGATGTTTTCTCCCTTTTTGGTGGCTTTTTTGACTTCATTAAGAATCAATTTGATCCGCTCTTTGAATTGGCCCTTGTAGCTTGCACCGGCCTGAATGGCCCCCAAGTCCAGCGCAAATAATCGTCCAATCAGTGATGCAGGCACATCCCTGTTGACCATCCGCTGAGCCAATCCTTTGGCAATTGCTGTCTTTCCAACACCAGGTTCACCGACTACAGTGGCGCAACCCATGTTACTGTACACCATCACCAGCAAAAATTTTTTGGCCTGTCAGCCTAATGTTTGTAGGCACTTGGGGTCCATCACCCATTTTTATTGTAGATTTGGGCTTTTTGAGGGCAGTAGTTTCCATAGATAAAAGGGCTAAGCCCCCACTGCTCCAACAAAAAAGTTTTTTTTATTTGGGGTCAACATTTCAGAATCCATGCGCTTAAATGCCCCTACAGTCTCATATTCATGTACTTAACTCTGATAACACATAAGTATGGCTTCTCCCACCAAAGATATGTGCATAAACTATAACCTACATTTCATTTTTGTTGCTGCCAAACATGGTAATTTGACTCTGGGATGTAATTTTTTCCAAACAAGTGGCAAAATTGCACAATTTTCAAAATTTCCAAGCCTCAAAACCTAAATTTTCCTTGGATCCTGCCCTTCCCAGGGCAGATTTTCTTGATTTTTTTCCTTCAAACATTTCGGAACCCCAAAATCCATGTACAGTAGGATGGGTTGTGCCACGGTAGTACTGGGTTGTTCTTTGTACAACGGCACAAGATTCTGGTTTTGGTGCTCCTCGGTTTTTGTTTTCAGGTCTTGGGCCTCGGCCAATTCAGCTTCCATCCTTTTGATGGTATTCAAGAGTTGTTCAGCTTTGGGTTGGCAGCTTCGGCGGTCGCATCAGCTTGAGAGCTACAATACAAGCCGTATGCAGGGAACCAATCGGAACCAATCGGTTACCGGATGTCTCTCGAGTCTAACCGCAACTGGACCTGACCCGGTACCCAGTCGGGTACTGCCGGGTCTAATCCTTAACTGCGACCATAGACACTCAATCTTCTGATTGTGAGTGCTCTTGGTGAACAAGTGTGACTGAATCAGATCTGGGCAGTCTGCATTGAATGATTTGGTGAGGTTGATCTGGTGGCCAGCCATGTGGATTGTTTCGGTTCCCCTGTCAGTAGATGTTTGGCGAGGTATGCCACCTTCACGTTTGACAAGTTTGAGATAGTAGTATCCAATGTGTCGGGGGTTGTTGTTGGTGACATGAACAAAGATTCCCAAAATCTTCCGGCTCCAAGCATCAATAAAACCATAGAGAGTGATCCCAAACTTCTTGAGTTTGTCGTGGCCATCGGCAGACCAAATGAAGTTCGGGCCAGGGGTGTTGAACACGCGATGCTTCAAAACCCTTTTTGATTGGTTATCAACACCTTCAGGATCAAGGGTACGGTTGATCAATGCAACTGTGAGACTTCATTCCAAACAAAGAAATATCAGAAATAACTCCATGGGATTATAATAACAGAGAAGACGTAACACCCTTATGAATGTTGAACCCATATTTTGTCTGTAACAATTGTCGTATCTTTCGGTAACCAACGTTCCGGCCTTCAGGGGTGTGATGAATTTCCTGAATGCAAGAGACAATTGTATCAATTTCAACCTTGTTGTTGTCCAAATCGTCAGTTCGCCGTGTCAGGTTCATGGATTTGATCTTCCTTTCGAGCATTCAAAAAGATTGAGTATAGTCGTGACTTGTTGTTAGAGCATGGTGAATTTGTGAATAAGACAATCTGTGTTCAAAGTAGGTTTGGATTTGGTCTTCAAGCTGATTGGAATGTTCAGTGGCTCAAAGTATAAGCCCCCAATCTTCCTTCCTTTGTGTGAGTGTTTGTTGGGAGACAGATATGGTGTGCGTGTCTTGAATATGTTTGCGTATTTCAGCGTCTGTCAGGCCGTTTTCAACTAGAAGAGAAACCTCAGTCTCAAAATCATCACCAAAAGATCGCATTGAGGCACGCATGATGGATGATTGGTGTATGTAGTAAGATCTGGTAGGGAGGTGTTGAGTTGTTGGTGTGTGTCAAATTGTTGGTGTGTGTTGAGTTGTTGGTCTGGTAAGGTTCAGCAGTTAGTGAGAAGAGTGTTTCTTGAGCTTGGTTGCCAGCTGAATCATCGGTCAAAGAGCTGTGGTGTATGTGTTATGGGTTGGGGATGCTATGTACTTTTGCTCCAGGGAGCCTATCATATAGTTTGTATGTATTGGAATGTTTAAGATGTATTTTCAGGGTGTGTGGCATACGTGTCAGATCCACTTGGCCAACTTGGCGGTTGGAATCACTCATATTTGTTTGAAAATTGGGTTTTTCATTTTTAAATTTTTTTGGCCAAAGTGGCTGTTCAGTACCTCCATAAAAAAGACATGTCAAATGCAATATTCAAGAAATAGTTTTCATTTTGATGCCAAATGAATATTAATATTACCATAATTTCATACATGTCTCAAAGTGTAGGAAAAAAATTTCAAATTTCAAAAAATAATGAGAGATAAACTGTAAGAAATTAATCACAAAATGTATTTAACTGCAATATTCAAAATGTTCCGTCAATTTTCACAAAAATTGAATTTTATCATAAACTTTTGGACTTGGTCAACCAACTCCCAAATATTGGAGTTCTGACTCCCACATATTTGGGATGTCAAGGGGACTGGCTGCGGATGGTCCCCACAATGTCAACCCCCTGTGTTTTTTTATCCTGGTTTTTTGGAAGCCAGACCTCCAAAAGGTCTGACTTGTTTAGAAGTTGGACCTCAGAAAAAAAATAACAAAATAAGACAAAAGAATAATAAAAAATCCCAGGAAGTGCAAAATGTAGATAAAAATCAAAGTGTAGTGGCTGTAAGGATGATGATTGGCACCCTGGTACCAGGTGTTTTTTGTTCCAAAATAGGCACCTGGCACCGCCCAGCTGGTGCCGGCGGTACTTACCACCGGTACCAGCAGTGCAAGTCTTGTAGTGGGCTGGCCGATGATGGTAAGGAGAGCGGGATTGAATTCCTGATAGGTGGCAATCCTATAAGCATTGATGATAGCCCAGAAGCCTTTTGTGAACTTTTTAGTCCAATTTTAAGTCTGGTAGGACGGATCTTCTTGACATATTTGACAATTCCCACCTGCAGGCCTGTGCCACCGACACAGACAAAGATCACATCCAAGGAATGCATGTTGACCTGGTTGAGGATCTCTTGTCCGACTGTACCCTGCCCTTAAATCATGTGAAGCTGAAGACTGGTTGGAGGCCCTCTCTCTTCATCCTGATCCAGACACCAAAACAATCACTGAGATTGACAGCATGAGTGATCAGGGTCTCTTTGACAACCTCGTAGACCTTTGAGCTGAGTATGAGCTGGATGTAGTTTGGGGTGCCATCAGTCAGTAGCTGCCTCTTGGGTATCCTAGTGTAGAGATGCTTGGGTGGGCCAGCCTGGGAGTCACCGGTACCAGCCACTCGGCACCTCCCAGCTGGTGCAAGCAGTACCAGGCTGGCTGGTGCCGGGTACCCCCAAACAGGTACCAATTGTCATCCTTAGGTGGTTGGGGAAAATCCTGATATGGTATGCACACATACAATAAATGATGGGCAGTTCCAATTTTTTTAGGAAAGCAGGAATAATAGAAAGATGAACAGATTACCAGTTTCAGCCCTATATTTACATTATATTAATGTAAGATAGTGGGCTTTAATAAAAAAAATGTGTTTTTTCCGTGGACGTACTGAGGAGCATCCGCGGATGGTCCTTGCAACGTCCCAGAAATTTGGGAGTCGGAACTCCAATTTCTGGGAGTCATTTAACTAAGACCCTTTTTTCATAATTTTAAATTTATTTCCTATGTTTTAAAATGCGTAAAAATTTGGCAGTCAAAGTTTCCCCCCAGGCGCCTGATGGCGGCTGGCTGCAGTGTTGGAGTTGCTTTTAGAGATGGCACTTTGCACCCAGGTACCTGTGGCTGTTAATGGATGAGCGAAAGAGTCAAAGAGGGAAAGACTCGATGAGTTTGGATTTCTGGATCAACAAACTCAAGCTTTAAATAGTGAAAGAAAGAATGCTACAAATGAGATAAAACAGTATAAAGCTATTCTAATCTGGACTGATGAGAGCACAGAAAGATACAAGCATGAATAAGAAAATATGCTAATAAAGAGTTTGAGAAAAAACAGAGAGCTACAATACATGAATACTAACACCCCCCCTAGCGAACTGTTTTTAGAAGACATAGTTCAATAAATGCAAACAAAATGTACATTTAATAACTGACCAGGTGGGATGAAATAGGTTGAAGCTCATTACTTCTCTTGAAATTATAAATAAAGTGTATGATACTGAAAGTGATAAGAAATAACCAGATGATAAGAATATGTAATACAGATGAGTTCAATTGGTCAAGTTGAGATGGTTAGAAGTTGGATCAAGGATTGAGGAGTCGTTGAGCATAGGTTTCTTGCATGCAGCTGGTCCAGCATTGAGCTTGATCCTATCTTATGTTGATCGTATAACATGATTGAGATGACCAAAATGATATCCACAACGATTTGAGGAGTTAGATTGAACAATCAAGAATAGGAAGATGGCGAGGTGACGACTAGAATCGTTCCTAAGAGGATCGAGTATGACAATGACTAGAGGGCCATTCCGACGACTAGGATGCTGTTCCGACGACTAGGATGCTGTTCCGACGACCAGGAGGCGATTCCGACGACTTGGCGGACATTCCGACGACTAAGAGGCCATTCCGACGACCAGGAGGCCATTACGACGACTAGGAGGCCAATTCCGACGACTTGGAGGCTATTCCGACAACCAGGAGGCCATTCCAACGACTATGAGAACAAGACCATTCCAAGGACTAAGAGGCCAATAAAAAGGTGGAGTCAATGTTGATAAGAATAAGGGATAGTGGTGACTGTTAATGTAAGAGTTTGCTGGATTATTATTGTTGCCAGCGGGTAGGGATGTCTGAACGGAGTTGAGTTGTTGTAGGAAATGACAGGTGATAAGAGCACGATGCGAAGGGTATGTATTAGGAATGAGGATTTAATCTGGAATGACTGAAGAAATTAAACCGGTGGATGTTCCGATTTGATGATAAGGAAGAATCAAAGATAGATGAATTGATGATGTTAGAGACTTCAAGGAAGGTAATCGGTGGATGTTCCAATTGATGATA